TTTGTCTAATGTAAGACCAAGGTATTGGAGATGATGAAATTGGAATACCGTTAAGTGTTACCCCTGGGGGAGGAGCGAGTCTGAGTGTAAATGTGCTATGGATAGATTTGCTATGATTTATTTTAAATCTCCATTTGATATAGGTACCAATCTTCCATAGAGTCTTGGTGAGTTTGGAGGTTTTTAGAAGCTATGAATGGGTAATTCATAGAGATTATTACCTTATCTTCGGCATAGTCTGCGATTGTTGTGTCTAATGTAATTGGTTGATCTGAGACAAATATGTTGTAAAGAATGGGAGATAGAATTCCACCCTAGGAGACTCCAGTCCTTATATTTCCAATACCTACTTGATATGGCAGAGCCGTATCATATTTGAAAAGCCCGTTCAGTTAGGTAGTGGATAGAAGGTTGAAGGAAGAAATGTTTTTAATTTGTATAAAAGACCCTCATGCCACACTCAATCAAAAGATTGTGCAATGTCTAAAAATGCGGCTGTGTAATATAATTTTTTTTTTCCAGAGAGCAAGATATTGCGTCTACTACCCTATGCAATTGATAGACCATAGAATGTGAAGTTCGAAACCCAAATTGATAGTCTGGTAGTATTTTCTTATCAGCAATAATGGGTAGAATACATTTGAGTATTAGTTTTCCTAGTATTTTTGCTAGAATGGGAAGAAGACTTATTGGTCTGTAAGATGAGGTTACATCAGGTGGCTTATTTGGCTTTTGTATCATGATAATTATAGAGGGCTGGAACCCGATTGAGCACGATTGATCATTTTCGTAACTCGATTGAGCACGGTTGCAATCAAACAATAGAAAATCCAAAAACCACACGATAGAGCACGAAAATGGGTGCGATGTTGCCGCTTTGTACCGTAGAATATTATTCGGTGCACCGTATTACTGTGCATGCAAGGTTTTTTTATAATTATTATGTAATTTAATTTTAGATTTTTAACGATTATTTCGTAATTTAAAATTTTTAGGACTCAGGTTTCCTAAAAGAAATATCTCTCCAATAGAAAAACGACAAGGCACCTTTTTTTTCGCATTATTTATATTGTTGGTGTATAGAACTCGGTGCGTCCATATTATTATTAAAAAATAAAATACATTTCAATATAATTTTTTTTGCTAAAAAATAGCATTCATACAATTGTTATGAAAAATGTAAAAATTTAAATTTTTTTCTCTAAATACTTATTTCCAACTTTCAATAAGTATTTAAGTAGGTTGTCAGCATTTTTAAATTGAAAGTACTCACGATAAGCCTTTATAGTGATATTTATAACACACAGTAAAGTCAAGGTGCATGCGACAGTTTTCGAAATATCGTGCCATAATTTTATTACGCGACATTCGTATGTTGTGCTCTATTTAATTTTAATGTACTTTAACAAAACGCGTAGTAAAATTACGGCGCGATAAAATAACGTTAGTGTGTTGCCAGTCTAATAGTTAGTTTTCAATCTGACAACGTTATAAACAATACTTTTTTTTTACCGTGCTCAATCGGGTAGTCAAAAAGGTCGGCCGATAACGACCTTGCTCAATCGAGTATCACCGTTATAGAGAACTTCCATAGTAGTGGAAAATAGGACAGTCTAATTATCGAATTATATATATGTGTAAGATAAACAATAGCTCTTTTTGGCAGAGATTTGACCAGGGACAGGAACCGAACCAAAAAGAACCGATTCTGGAACCGGAACCTTTTAAATAATAGGAACCGATACCGGAACCGAAACCTTTATTTTGATAAATGAAGTACCGGAACCGAACCGGAATTTTTAAATTATAAAGGTTCTTTTAGGTTCCAAAATTAAATAGTTTTATTTAGCATAGATTATTTATAGTTACTACTTTGTTTATAAATAATCAGGGATCCATTCTTATTATGTTTATTTTTTTTTTTTGCTTTACGCGCCATTTAGGCGCTTCGCAGCTTCTACCAAAGTTCTCCAAAGTTCTCGATCTTCTGTTTAGTTTTCTATCTTCTTTCTATTATGTTTATACCTAGAACTATACTAAGTTCTTATTCTTATTCTTTACCTATTTAGAATTATATTTTTGAAGTGTTTATTACGTGTATATTTATCACAAAATAACATTATATAGAAATGTTTTTCCCAGTATATACCATAATTGGAATCAATATTATCTTCCAAATAAAGGGATGATATTAACAAAATTAGTGATGGGCATAATCGAATGATCTTTATAATCGAATGATTAGTAATCGAGACATTTTCATAATCGAGAGAATCTCTCGAAATAATCATTCGAAATATTAATAATCGAGATACGAGAATCTTTTTATC